CATTACATACATTACATACATTACATACATTACTTACATTACTTGCTTTACTTGCTTTACTTCCATACATACATACATACATACATCCATCCATCCATCCATCCATCCATCCATCCATCCATCCATGCATGCATCCATGCATCCATCCATCCACATCAATATGTGGTGGAGCATTTTCAGCAAACTCGCGGAAATTCCAGCCATTGGACAATGGAGCGTGCATACGAAGACCGGCATTGAGAGCATTTGCGAGCTGCTGACATGTCAGGTACAATCCGTGGGTTCACGCTTGCATCAGTGCAGATAAATCAGGCGTGCCGTCCCCACTGTCCATTCGGCACTGCCAAACCACCCTTGCAGTCGCAGCAAGTCAAGAGTGATTGGGGTGATGAGCTTGCCCTAGCCTCGAACTTAGGCGCTTGAACTCTGGGATCCAGACACTCTGCAGATGCCTACGAAAGAAACACGCCCAGGGAGGCTGGCTTGCAATCTCCTGTTGGAATGGCGAATCCAAGCACCAAGAGCAGGCTTAAGTTCGAGATCAAGAGCGAAACCCACATGTGAGCCTTGATGTCTTGCCTGCTGCTTGTGTACCAGTGCTTACATGCTGTGTCTCACAAGGTACGAGCTGCGCAAGAACCAGACGCACGTGGGCATCCGAGTAGAATACATCCAAAACAAGATCAGATACGTTTTCTGGATTTCGTCTAGTCCTGCTGATCCAGAGAACAGCACAGCCTGGCTCGAGCTCATCAAATTGAACGTGTGGGTCGTGCGAATAGACTTCCCTCAGAAACACGTCGAAAATGAAACGTCAGGAGCTCAGAGATCGTCAACCACGCCTTCCTTTCGGACCTTCTGTTCTTGCAGTCAAGTCTTTCCAAGTGACTCCACCATTTGTGCCGCAGTTTGTTCGTTTTGCTCCTGGGTCTGAGGTTTTGCAGCTGCCGCGCTGTTCGCAGTGACCATTCAAGCAAGTGAAGATGCGGAGCGTACTCGAATCCTGTCCGAAATCCAGGCCGGGTCCTTCAGAGCACTCCTGACGACATGCGACGAACTTGTAAGGAAACCTGTCAGCATGACTTGTGTGTTTTTGGGGCATTTGCAGGAACTCCGCGGCCAACTTCAGAAGCAGCGCACGATCATCCAGCAGCAGTTCACCCAGCTCGCCAATCTCGAGGAAGACGAGGAGCGTCGCCTGCAGGCAGTTGGCAACGTCACCGCGACTGCCTGGGCAACAGAGAAAGCCGCTCTTGAAGCGACCGACGGAAGCATGGCGGCGGCCATGGACACTCTTTGGCTCTGCTTGTGCGGTGCCTTAGTCATGTTCCTGGGTTGTTTTCCTGTAGCAGTTTTGATTCTTCTGGAGGTTTACCCAAAAGAACAGAACAAGCTTGATCCTTTTTGCGTTGGACAGCTGCAAGACTCAAGGTTCATGCATGCCGGTTTCGCCATGTTGGAGACCGGTTGCTGTCGTTCCAAGAATGCATCCAACGTCTTGATGAAGAACTTGGTGAAACTAGGCTAGAATGTTGCATTGAGCCCAGCTTCTTCTATATCATGCCTGTGGAAGAAATCAAGCTCTAGCAGACATGCTTCTACATGCAATGAGCGCATGAACGTTTGTGTGCTCGTGCTCAGGAACGTCTGTGTTGGAACTCTTGGTTGGTGGGTGCTTGGCTATGCCTTTGCTTATGGAGGAGGCAGGGATAGGGGTTCAAAATACTATTTAAGGGATCAAAAAACTATTCAAGGGATCAAGAAAAACTGTTTAAGAGATCCTACAAAAAACTATTCCTGTTTTATAAGGAGAGTACAAGGCAAAAGACAACGGAACAACACAAAGCACAGACACCTGTCCCAGGGATCCAAAAAAACCCACTCCAAGCAAAATCTAGAAAGGAGGCCGGAAAGAAACAAAGAACGAAAGAAGCAAATAAAGAAAGAACGACAGAAAGAAATAAACACATAAAGAAAGAAAGAAACAAAGAAATAAATACATAAAGAAAGAACAGAAAAAGAACAAAATTCAGAAATAACGACCGAAGAAAAACATCTAAGAACAACAGCCAGAAACACAGAAATAAGGACAGCAATTCAGCGCAGAGACAAAGAAAGACAGAGTGAATTGAAGAAATAACGTAGGAAAGACATAACGAAACAACAAAAAACGAAGTAAACAAGTCAAGAAACAAAGATAACATCTCGAAAGAAAGGGAACAAGAAAGAAAGAACGACGGAAAGAGACAGCAATTCAACGCAAAGAAAAGAGACCACAGAAAGACAGAAAGCAAGAAAGACAGCAAGTCGTAAGGAAAGAAAGAACCAACAACAACGAATGGAGCAAGAAAGAAAGAAAGACCAGCAACTGAGCACAGAGAAATTACAAATGCAATGCCTCATTAGAGAATCTAGTTGCTCAGGCGCATGTACTCTTTGCAGACAACAAGCATAAAGACAAAGCCGTGTGCAACCATCAAGCCGAAAACTTCATTCCCAGACCTTCATTTCGTGCGTGTTCTCAGGATGATAACGACGGCGATGATGCTGATGGTGATGAGGAGGTTGATGTTGAGGATGCATATGTATATGTCTAAGCGTATATGTATATGCACAAGGATGTTTATGTACATATATATATATATATATCTGCATATATATACCAGTAGTACATAGACATGATTGCATATACTCGAACTCCGTGCACTTTCATGATGTATCTAGATGAGCACGTTTCACTTGATCATAACATTTAGCTCAGCACACAAACAAGGTGTTTCGCACACTGGTTAACAGCCTCAGCCACGTGGTCACTTTGGTAGGACAGTGAGGCAAAGCCTCACGCCGCCATTGTGGCCCTTCCATATTTCCGTGCGTGTGCACACCGACTTTTAGGTTGTGCTTGAAATCGCAACACAGGTGCCCCAGCCCTTACCATACATACCTGCGCTGTAACTTGCACTGTACGAGCCCGAGCCAGTCTCAGCATACTTGCACATCTCAGTCTCCGTTGGATTGTTCCACGAGACATTCCATATTTCGAACTTTCTATCTGTGTATGCAATGCACCGAATGTGAGCACCCATCTACCTATCAGACACTGCATTCGGGTGTATTTTGATTTGAGGCAGGAATGTTGTTCATCCTGCTGCCCCTGCCTGTGGTCTAGAATAGTAGCCCGAATTGAAAGGCGGTTACGTGTTCGCATTAGGTGGGAAAGGTTTCTGCGTAGGATTCTGATACCGTGGTTCAAGTTCCGCTTCGGGGCTGACCTTCTTTAACTTCGCAGATGACGGTATGCATACTTCCGCCCTTGGTTCGTGGAGGACCACATTTGTCCCGCGATACTATCCCTAGCCATGCTGCGCGCGTCTCCGCATTGTGTGTCGAGGTGCAATCCGCAAGGACTTTCAACTCAACCCAGCCGAGCCTATCCCGAACAGGGCCCGAACAACCGCCCATATCCTCTTGACACTTTGCTTGAAACGAGGGGCGGGTTGATCCGGTTGTCTCGTAGGCTAGGTTAAGGAAGTTGTTTCACAAGATCAGCAGCTTCGTCTTGCTAGACCAAGGTTTCCAAAGGTTGCCTAGTTTCAAGGTGTTCTCGGTCGATTTCCTTCGCGGTTTACTCCCGCCGAACACAGCCGGTGTTATGCGCCGGGGCCTTATTTAGTAGCGGTTGATTGGCCTTAGGATGGTGTGGCTGTCTGCAGGGATCCCGGGACTGCTTCTTCGAAATGCTGCTGATGCAGTATGACCTCACGAATGGTATCTGGCGGTGCAGCTGTGTTCCAGATCTCTATATGGGGCAAGTGCCGTTCAAGTGCCATTCCACGTGAAGGGGATTGGCAGGTGCAAGGTTCTCATCACGAGCGCTTTGAATTTGCTTACGAGCGCTTCCTTGCGCACGATCATTCTGAGGCCAGGTGGCAGCATCGACTGGGTATACACCAATCGGACACCGGACATTGCATCCATCCAGAAAGCTCGCTCTGCAATGGAGCAGACGTGCATGTTTTATCTGGGAGGCTCAGAAGTTTCATTGGCTCCGACCTGCGCCGAGCCCTGTGGCAGGACCTGCAGTCGAAGGTGACGAAGGCCGGTTCGAAACCAACTGTTGCCTCCCATGTTTCGCGCACTGACAACTCGCGACCAAGTGAGGCCGATGCAACAGAGCAGGCCGACGAGAGGAAGGCACGCTCATCTTTTGCGTCACTTGTCTTGCTCAGGCCGCCCAAGGAGTGCAACTGACAGCTGTGATTCAAGTCAGGTTGGCAATGCCGAGGAGGTGAAGGCATGGTTGTGTGCAGCTCCTTCCGAGTCATGTTGTGGCTGCGGGCCAAGTGCCAGGAGGGGTTCTCACACGGCGCTCTCCTCGCAGGCTCCGCCAGCCGTGTTTTCTTTGCTCAGAATAGATTGCGGATTTGAGCCATGTTAGGTTATTACGACGGCGACGGCCGAGGAGACGAAGGCACGCCTGGGAGCACTCCCGAGATTTGCTCGCGGTAGCCTGGTCATGATCGATCTCCTGGAATTGCTGTCAGGAATCCCCCTTGACGGGGCCACTGCGTCTTGGGGCAATCCGCTGGTGTTGGGAAGGCCGTTTTCGTAGCCCGATGACGTGCGATCGACTTCGACCCTGCGACCATGTGCTGACGTGGTTTGTAAGGAGGCTCAACTCTCGTGTCAGCATGCAGTGCAACAGATTCTGGTGGCACGGCGTGTAGACGGCCATGACTTGTGTGTGTGTGTGTGTTGAGATTATGACATGCTCCAAGCCTGGCCCTAGCTCCCTATTCCCTTACCCTTTTCTGCTTTTGCGATTTTGGAATCAATTCTAGCCTGTACGCTAGGACGAACCCGATGTAGCACATGGCTTGGAGCACATGGCATGAATGTCGCAAATGATGGCACTGCTCTCGAGCAGCGAGAATTTCGGCCAAACAACTGGCAACCGGCAGTCGCTTTAAGGTGCCTCAGCCAGGGTTTCGGGTGAGAAGGGGACGCTGTGGGAGCCTATCGGTTTAAAGGTTTCCGCGGCGTCCCCAAAACCAAAGATAAAGACATTGAACTTCAATATTAAATACTGAACTTCAATATCTCCAGGGCCGCGGAACCAAGAACCAAGACTGCTCCCTGGACTTTTCTGGGGCAATCTTGGTTC